AACCAAATTTAGAGTCGAGCACCTTAACTACCAAGCCATGCTAAACCAAATTTAGAGTCGAGCACCTTAACTACCAAGCCTTGCTAAACCAAATTTAGAGTCGAGCACCTTAACTACCAAGCCATGCTAAACCAAATTTAGAGTCGAGCACCTTAACTACCAAGCCTTGCTAAACCAAATTGTATTTTCACACTTCTCCTCCCAGATCGTATTATCGTTGGTTAAGGAGTCTTTATAAAATTATTTTCAACTGTGGATAACCAAGTATAGTTTGACTTTAAACATTATACTAATATAGAAATTCTAAAGTTGGTTTGTTAAACGCAAAGCCAGATTGGGCTATCTACTGTGTCCACCGTGGGAAATCAAACCCTGGATTTTAGAGTTGTAAGTCCATAAAATTTCCACTGTTCCACCTGTATGAGACAAAGGAATGTAATAAGAAAAACTATAAAAAAAGACAAGCATGTCAGCCAAAAATATATATAAAAGAACTTCAAAGAACACCAAACCTCATTATTCAGTGCGCTAGGCTTAACTTATGCTAAGCCTAATTCACACAGACTGAGGATTATCCTCATTGAAGTAATTCTGAAATATTAATGACATTTCACATTAAAAAAAAAAAACTTTGCTAGACTGATAGAATAATTTGAAAGCAAACACAATCCTACAAAATTAAAGTTTCATAAATATATTTAAACTTCTACAAAAAAAGTTTCAGTTTTATAAACCTAGGAAACGTACCAGGTAAGTGGTATCGGAATAATGTTTTTGCTCCACGGTAACAAGTGATGTCACACAATCGGTATGGCCTTCCAAAGTGCTGATGATGGCATAGTCTGTCATTAGTTCCCACTTCCATTTATAAAATCAAATTATTACAAAAACACTTGGATATTATTTCAATTACTCTACTATAACTTTAGCATGTCACAAAATATGTTCGAAAAGTATTTTGCTGATAAAAAAAAAAAAAGGACTAGAGCAGTGTACAAACTGCTCAGTATTTAATTAAATTCAAACTTATTGTTACGGTTAATTAGAATCAAAAGCGACTCATTTACAAAATGTCTGCCCAGTCAGACATTCCTAAGTTTTCCAGCTTCCGTAATTGGATATCTAACTATTTTCTGCACCAAAGCAGACTATTCTTGCTCGTAAGAAGTGAAGATATCAAAATCAAAACTTTATTTTGCTTTTTTTGTTTCTTGTACAGCACAAAGCTACATGATGGGCTATCTGTGTTCTACTAACTGTGGGTATCAACACCCAATTTTTAGCATTATAAGCCATCAGTCTTACAGATGAGCTTTTATTTTGTTAATATAAACGTCAATTGAAGTTATTAACAACCTTGACGAGTTCGCTATCCATATCTTTATTTTGTCCACTGGAAGAAGAGTAACTGTCCCGTTTAGTTGCTGATGCTCTGTCTTCTTCAACTTCCTTACTCCACACATCTACAGACATAAAGAACATATTTATATGTAACAGATGTTTTAGAAAACAGTATGGTCCCTATTTTAATAGCATACTTTTATTTACAAGCAATAGATGTAGCTTTTACAAGTACTAAATCAGCGTTTTGAGTATGAAAATAATTATCCCCTTATAAATTACAAACTTATTTAGATGTATAACTAGATATACTTCCACAGGGTCCCCGAAAGTGTTCCGTTTCAAGAGTAAATAAAACCAGATCTAAGAGTAACAAATATCTTTTTATTCCTTGCTATTGAAGATTATATATCATGCTGTGTTGTGGACTATAGAGTGTATAATTCTTCTCATGATTCATGGTATGCACATGTTTTACTGACATCACAACAGTACAAATTGCAACATTAAACATCTCTTATGTGACGTTATTTTAGTGTCTAATGACTAACTGACTGATTGACAGACAAAATACTACTGAGTGGTTAAAACAAGTGACTCCACCGGGCATCTTTCTGCCCTCTTTCGGGGAAAAAAATACTTGAAATGGTAAAATTTAATAAACGTAAAACGGATGTGACATCATTCATCTACATTAACGGATGTGACATCATTCATCTACATTAACGGATGTGACATCATTCATCTACATTAACGGATGTGACATCATTCATCACATCCATATAAATAGATAGTACAACACTGATCAAACTGTCTGTATGTACAGAAGTATTGGAAGGCTTGGGTCCCTGCTTGTCCCCCTTGTGCATGCCCCCGACTTTAAGTGTGTATTGTATATTCTGAGACCAGAGCCCAAACCTTGTAGTGTGAGGAATCTGAATCACTGGTTATTAACAGGTGTGAATTTTGTTGTTTGTGTTATTTACTTTGAGACTAAGGTGTGAACTTTGTTGTTTGTGTTATTTACTCTGAGACTAAGGTGTGAACTTTGTTGTTTGTGTTATTTACTCTGAGACTAAGGTGTGAACTTTGTTGTTTTGTGTTATTTACTCTGAGACTAAGGTGTGAACTTTGTTGTTTGTGTTATGTACTTTGAGACCATGGTGCTAGTTTCGTGTCAATGTTAATTAGGCATGTGTTTAAACCATATACACTTACAAACTTTGTTGTTTTGTGTTATTTACTCTGAGACCAAGGTGTGAACTTTGTTGTTTTTTTATTTACTCTGAGACCAAGGTGTGAACTTTGTTGTTTTGTGTTATTTACTCTGAGACCACGGTGCTAGTTTCGTGTCAATGTTAATTAGGCATGTGTTTAAACCATATATACTTACAAACTTTGTTGTTTGTGTTATTTACTCTGAGACCATGGTGCTAGTTTCGTGTCAATGTTAATTAGTCATGTGTTTAAAACCATATATACTTACAAACTTTGTGGTCCTGACAGGCACCTACTAACAGATCCAACTCCTTTACAAATACTAAACGTAGTATCGCTCGCTTGTCAAGGATATCAGTCTTCCTCTTCTATAAAATACATAAAGATTTGTAAATACCATCACTAAACTTGAAATTAAAATACAAACACTTTTATTTCACCATTGTACAGAATATTTGACAAGAAATTAAAGCAATGTTTTACGAACACGATAATTACTGAATTATTCCAGACGTCAGATTAAAGTCTTCTCAAGAGCACTGGTTCTCAAACTTGAGGGTTGGGTGGGTACGTGAGAAGAATCAGGAAAAATGTTTCACCAATATTATTTAATGAATAAAGAGACTTCTTGTCACACTGTGTTGGAGTAACGAGTTACCGAGTATTTTTAATTAATAAGATGGCGAGCACTGCTCTAGACAACAGTTTAACTGTAGTCTTCTCTAGATGATACTTATTACACCTTTCACACAGGGCCGGATTAACGCCAACTGATGCCCTAAGCACAGCCCAACAATGGTTCCACCTCGACTCTTCCACTGTCTAACTGACAAGACGTTAAGACTCAATAAGTGCTGAATGTGAAATAATAGATTAAAAATTCAGTTTTCTTCCAGGCCAGACCCCACAATTATATTAAATACAACCTGTTTTTTGATTTTATTTATTTAACACTAAACAGCAGTCAGCAATATAAACAAATTATTTACTTATAGCTTATAAAACGGTGAGAGATATATTTTTATATTTTTTTTTTGCCGTTAACGGGATACAAATATCGGACACATAGATCTACAATCCGGCACGCTAGCCACTAGGCCATGCTTGGTACTAACAGTCACGGTAAAATTCTTCTATTTGTTTATAGTTTGTGGTGGCTAGCCTCTTTCCCTCCAGTCCATCAGTATAAAATTATGGACCATGAAAGAAACAAACACGTAAAGGATCAAGTTGGACCGAGTCCATTTTTTTTAAGCTTTACAAAATAAAAAGAAAGTAACTGAGCATCCTTATTCCCCCTTCAGACATTATACCTGGTTTGTTTTGAAGGGCGTCAAAGCAGGTTTGCCCTTTCTCTTCGCTTCTGCCATTCTAGGCAATTGTCCTTTGCTGTAAAAAAGTAATTATATGGCTGTATTATAGATGATTGTGACAGTTCTAAACAGTAGACTTGTTTCATAGAAAAATAAACTGTAAAATCCTTCCGCAATTATGAGATTTTCATTAGGAAAAACTATGGTTTTAAAATATTTTTGTTTATATGCCCTAGGCCTAGGGTAAAGCCACATCGGACTATCTGTTGTGTCTATCGCGGTGAATCGAACCCCGGATTCTAGTCTGTAAACTTACCGCTGTCTCACTGGGGGACGTTTGAAAACGAGGTGCCGATATAATTTGTTTAAAATAATTCAAAAACGACCTTTTCTTTTACTGAGAAAAATATTGTAATTTAACAATCAAACATTTTATTTCTTCCTCTCTGACGTCATTTTAGTTTTATGTTAAATTAAAAATTGAAACAATTTATACTACTACACTTAGATATATTACGAGAAATACATTTTTAAATTATTTTGACAATCAGAAACATTTCAAAAAAGTATTAAAACCTCAACAAAAGATTGATTGGACTTAAACTTTTCAACTTCAACAATATCTTAATCGCACGTGGATTAATATGCTAGATACCCCCTAGTGGTCGGGTGAAGCTGCTCCTAATTTTGAAGTATTTACCATAGGAAATACAACCAGCAGCATCGCCACCAGAAGAGTATTGACTGTGACTTCTATAATGCACTCACAACTGAAAATGTGAACTATATGTATCAAGAACACACCTCGAACACCTGACTCTTTGATCTGCCATGCCCTTCCCTAACATGACTTTCAGCAAATTCAGTTTTGAGACTTGTAATATATACATCTCAGATCAAGACAGACATACCTTAAGAGATATTTTGATGACAGTTCCTGCTCCCAGGTGTAAACAATCCCGTTGTTAGAGCCAGTGAATACAATGGTGGAGTTTTTCATGGCTAAAGGAAAGGGAAAGACACATTACTAGCTAAACAATATATCTACAAGAAATCTATCTCACCATTAACAAAGTGAAGAGTGTTGGTATTGATCAAAGGACCTCATCGGCACCGGTTATAACAGGTATATCGTGTGGTTAACATTTCATTATTTTACATTCTTCTCGACTTTTACCCATAAGTCCTTGTTAATAGTTAGATCCAACACATTGAAAACAAACTCATGCAGCGATTTTAACAGTGCTTGCCAGTACAGAAACACAATGTTACAATCATTTTAACAGTGCTTGCCAGTACAGAAACACAATGTTACAATCATTTTAACAGTGCTCACCAGTACAGAAACACAATGTTACAATCATTTTAACAGTGCTCACCAGTACAGAAACACAATGTTACAATCATTTTAACAGTGCTT